TTCCCCCCCCGCCGATATGAAGACTGGAGATATCGTGCATGCCCCCGGGGGGCTGGCGGCTGCCTGAATGAAGTGCCCGCTCAAAGCAGCCATTAAGATCACGAGCACCCCCAGGGTACTGATCGACTGGACCGTCGTGAGGACGGAGCTGCTGCCAGACCGGGGGATGCAATGCCACCGGTGCTGGGAGCGAGGACACGTGGCAAACGAATGCCGGAGCGATGTTAGCCGGGCGGGCCTGTGTTACAGGTGCGGCGGTACTGGCCACCTTGCGAACGGCTGCGAAAAGAGGGCGCATTGCTGCGTTTGCGCGGATAGAGGAGCTCCGGCTGACCATTGCTACGGCGGTGGGGCATGCAACCCACCCCCGCTAAGGGGGAAAAGACGAGCGAATCGGCTGGACGGCACTAACCCCGCCGAGCCCGCCCGGGCGTCTCTGAGAGCGTCGCCGACGGTGCCCACCGCCATGGACGTGGAGGTGACGCCGGGCGAGGTAGAGCGCGCCACAGCACCCGCCACTAATGAGCAGATTTCTGCCCCTGGGACTGTGCCTCCAGTCGCGGAGATGACGAGGGTGATTTCGGGGGCCGTTACCCCGGAAACCACCGCGGAAGAATCGGGCCCCACGGGGGACCCGTGGGATGGTCCGCACCCAGAGCTTACCAATGCCTGGTCCAAAGAATAAAGGCAATCGGCTGCTCCTAGCCAACGTGAATCACTCCGCCAGAGCTCAGGATCTTCTGAACCAAACCCTGGCGGAGGAGGATTATGGGATGGCCATCATCACGGAGCCATATTGGATCCCGGATGGTCATCCAAACTGGACGGCCAGCCGTAATGGCACTGCCGCTCTCACGTGGAGGGGGAGCACCCGCACCCTCCCCGGTGCGGCCGTGGAGACGGAGGCGCCGCCGCCAAGTGAGGCGACATCATTGTTATCGGCGTGTACATCTCGCCGGCCGTCGGCAGATTCGCGGTCGAGAATATTCTCGACACCGTGGAAGAGTGCATCGCGCGGACCAGGGGGAGGACCGTCCTCCTGGGCGGTGATTTTAATGCCCACGCGGAGCTCTGGGGCTCTCCTGCCACCGATGTAAGGGGCAGGATCCTCATGGAGTGGACGGGCAGAATGGGGCTCATATGCCTGAACATCGGCACGCGTCCTACCTGCGTGAGACCGCAAGGGTCATCGATCGTCGACCTGCTGTTCGGCAGCCCGGCGGTGGCGGCAAGGGTGCAGGATTTCGCGGTCCTCCCGTCGGTTACGCTGTCGGACCATTTGTACGTGCACATCGCACTGGCGGAGACCGCGGCACAGCGGCGAGGGCGGGGCTCAGCGCGGGAGCGCAGATGGAGGATAGGGGCGCTAGACTGCGACCTCCTGGAGGCCTCGCTGATCGCCGGGGACCTGGTGCCGGCTGGAGAGCCGACTGTCTGGGACCTCGAGGAGGCAACTGGCCAACTCAGAGCCGTGGTCAGTCAAGCGTGCGATGCGTCCATGCCGCGGGCAAGACCGCGGCCCCGCCGGGCCATGCCTTGGTGGAGCGACGAGCTCGAGGGATTGCGGCGGGAGGTTTTCGCTGCCCGCAGGGCACTGAAGAGGACTCGCCGCAGAGGCGCGAATGCCGAGGAAGTGGAGCACAGGGCCGGTTCGCTCAGGGCGGTGAAGAAGAGCCTGAGGACCGCCATCTCCAAGGCTAAATCCAGGGCATGGGAGGATTTCGTCGGAACTCTCGACGAAAACCCATGGGGCAAGCCGTACCTGATGGTACGAAAGAAGCTCCGGTACTGGGCGGCTCCGTACATGGAGACGCTGGACCCACAGGTTCTAGAGAGCGTGCTGGGCGAACTGTTTCCCGCCGACGACGAGGAGCGGCCCTGAGTGGAACCTCCCCTCCCGCGGGTGGGCTGGGGCGCGTGGAGCGCAGACCTCGAGGTCACCGAGGAGGAGCTGGCGCTCGCCCGTAGGAGGATGTTGGAGCGCAACGCGTCCCCCGGGCTGAGCGGCGTACCTGCAAGAGTCTGGGGATCAGCCACGCGCGTATTGAGCGGACGCTTTCGCGCGATCGCGACCGAGTGCCTAAGGAGGGGTCAGTTTCCGTGGGTCTGGCAATCCGCGAGACAGGTGCTCCTGCGAAAGCCCGGCAGGCCGGCGGATAGGGCCACGGGGTATAGGCCCATATGCCTCCTAGACGAGGAGGCGAAGCTCCTCGAGAGGGTGATCCTCGGGCGCGTCGTTGCGCACTTGGATCACAGGGGCCGAACCTGCACGCGAAGCAGTTCGGCTTCCGACGCGGCAGGAGCACCGTGGACGCCACGCTCTGCGTTAAGGCTTCCATTGAAGAGGCCTGGGAGGAGGGGGGAGTGGCTATCGGCGTTTCCTTACATATAAGGAACGCCTTCAACTCCCTCCCCTGGAACGCGATCGGCCGCGCGCTTATGCGGCACCGGGTGCCGCCCTACCTCCGCAGGGTGCTGCGGTCTTATATGGGGCGGCACCGCCACCTCATGTTCACGGTGGAGGACGGGACCCAGCGAGAGAGGACGGTGGAGCGGGGGGTCCCACAGGGGTCCATTCTGGGCTCGCTCCTTTGGGATCTCGGCTATGACGTGGTCCAGTCGGAGGCCGACCTTCCCTCCGACTGCCTGGTAGTCTGTTATGCAGACGACACCATCGTTCTGGCGGCCGGGGGG